GACTGCTCCTGCTGTCTCAGGAAACAGGGCCGGGAGCCCCGGTGAACTGCTCACTGCCCTTCTCGGATATCTTACTCTCCAAGCCTGCGAAGCCCTTGAACTCAGACTGTCTGTCTGAAGGTCTTGGGCTAAAAACCAGGTCCAAATTATAAGCATCCATTTATAGTATTATGTGTATTCATGTCATGCTCAGACAAATAAGAATGCTCAAGGGCTCTGTGTGTGTGTGTATACCTATGTGTGAATTCACATATATGCATGTGTATACACCTATGTGTTAGTTCACATGTGTTTATATATTTATGTGTGAATTCACATATATGTGTGTGTATGTGCCTATGTGTTAGTTCATGTGTGTGTGTATATTTATGTGTGAGTTCACATATATGCATGTGTGTATGTACCTATGTGTTAGTTCATATGTGTGTGTGAGTATGTGTGCGTGCGCATGTATGTGCATGTGCCAGAGGTTGATGTTAGTGTTTTCCCCAATTGCTCTCCACCTCGTTTTTTGAAGCATAGTCTCTCACTGAACCTGGAGTCCACCTATTCAGCTAGAATGACTGACCAGCAAACCCCAGGGATCCTCTTTGTCTTCCCCAAACTGAGATTTCAGGTGTGTGCTACTGTATGTAACCTTTTACATGGGTGATGGAGATCTGAACTCAGGTCCCAATGCTTGTCTGACAAGCATTTTACCAGCTGAGCCATCTCCACAATCCCTGGGGCTTTGCCATCTTGTGTTCACAGTACCCACACAGTCCTTAGTCCAGAAAAATAGATATAAAGTGGAAGCCATTTTGCCAGCATCACCCAGGGGACGTGTCTGCAATGTTTTAGCTGTATTGGGGTACTAAACAGGAAATAGTGTGCAGTAGCAATTAGTGGGTGGAAGCCAACGATACTGAGAGTCACGCCACAGGACAGCTCCCCACAGCAAAATTACCCAGATCAAATGTCAATCGTGCCGTACTTAGAAATCCTTATCTGGAACAAATGCTATGGAATGAGAGATAATAGATCAACCACATTGGATAACTGTTGCTCCCTTAAGGCTGGGGCCAGTGCTTTCCACTCTGAAGGACCCTGGCTTCCTTTAGCATGAGTAATTCTCTCCTGCTCTGTTGTACTTAGTTCAGGAAGCACTAAACTGGCCAACAAAACCTTTCTGTGGCATTTGAGCCAGTGGAGATCCTAAGGCACTGCTGCCTTGACTTGTGTTCAGGGACCTTACCTCATCTGCAGTCAGGTTCACAGAGGTCCTTGGCACACACCATGGAGTCTTCCCTTACAGGCAAAAGCATTTTGTGGAGGAAGAAAATGAAACCACATGGAACTTCCTTGTTGAGGACCACATAGCTAGCATGTCTCACTGCTGGATTCCAACCCAGGTTGTCTGAAGGCATCCAAAGACATTGTTTGTCATTTATATCTTCTTTTAGCTTCCCTGGATTTACTTAAATGTTATTACCTCTCCTGGGTAAATCTGATTTCCTTCTCTTCACCTTCCCTAGGAAAACTGGTCAAGGGCTTAGGTTTTGAAATGACTGAGGGGACGATACTGCCTGTTATAATTTTTACCCTTTCTCTTTGGAATCTGAATGAGGCTGATACTCAAGGACTTTTAATACCCTGTATACTTCTTCTTTTTTTTTCCTGGTCTTTTTGAGACAGGACAGGGTCTCCCTGCAGCCCCAGCTGGTCTGGAACTCACTATGTAGACCAGGCTGGCTGGCCTTGAATTCACAGAGATCCACCTGCCTCTGCCTCCCGAGTGCTGGGACTAAAGATGTGTGCCTCTATGCCTGGCTTCCTAAAGATCTTTCTTTTTTATAAGGTAAAATGTTAAAAATGGGGAAAAAAAAACTGTACTGAAATGAAAAGCAAAATAGTTTCTAGCTATATTATATGCTAGCCATGTGACTGAGGAGAGACATTCATGAGTATCTTTCTTTTAAAATAATAAATAAGATTTCCTTCTAGAGCTTAACATTTATGATGCATAGGAATTCATAAGTGGTATCATATCCCTTTTTCTGGGTTTAAATCTCCAATAGTTCAACAGCTTAGGCTGTACGAATTAAGAAAATAATATTTAAAGCAAGAAAGGCAGGACTTGATGCAGCTAAGAAATGTAGATTTATAAATTTTGGATTTGCTTCAGGAAACCATTTGTCTAAGAGCACTTAGCTTCTCAGACAGTCTCTGCCCCATTTTCCTATATGCTTATGAGGAGCCAAACACAGGTCATAATCTTATACATGATGTGGTCATCACAGGAGGGGGACTGGATTTTGGAAACCTGGCATGACCAAAACTAAACTCAGATTAGGCAAATTAGGAAACAAAGATTATTTTTATTTTATGTGTGTGCTGGATAGCTTTAGTGTCAACTTGACACACCTGGGTTGAGGGAGCCTCGTTGGAGAATTGCCTCTATTGGACTGGCCTGTGGCCATGTCTGTGGGGCATCTTCTTGAGGAGTGATGTGGGAGGGCCCAGCCCACTGTGGGTGGTGCCACCCCTGGGCAG